ACAAAAAAGAGAGATCCTGGTGAGAGCAGGGGAGAGAGGAATGGATAAAGAGAGGGAGAGAGAAAGAGATGGGAGGGAGGGAGGGTGAGCCGTAGAGCATTAATAAGTGATGAGTCCAACAGTGTGAATTGCTGTTAGTTAGCATTGCTGCAGCGCCGCCTTCATTTGCATGGCAGCACCAAGAACAAACCCCCTTTACTTACGCCATTTCCTCTCTGGTATCACTTTGTTTCTCGCTTTCACTCACTGTTTTATCTATTTCTGTCTCTTTTCTCTATAGTCTAGCCAGCATCTAAATATATATATATATATTTATATATATATATATATATATATATCTTTTCTTAGTTACTTTTTTTTTTATCTTGCTTTCCAGACTGATCTGATCCTCTTCTCCTCCCAACCTCCCTGGTGGCTGCAACATTCCTATATTAACAGTATCATTTTATTTTCTCATTGTTTTGCTCTTTATGATCTTTTATGTTGCTTTTCTTTTTGTTTGATGATAATTTGTTGAAAATGGCAGCCATATACTATACTAGGATACATTTAGCTGTGACTTTCCTGCAGTCCTTCATCTTCTGCCTCCATCTTTACCTCTTCTTCCATTTCACCTCCCCTTCCCCTCCGATGTCTCCCCCACCTATCTCAAAGAAGAGGGTGTCCTCTCTGGGGGAACTTTGGGGAAGACAAGTGATGCTCCAGGGCTCCCTAATCCTTTTTTCATTGTGTATCTCTCTTCCTTCCTGTCTCTCTTTCTCGTTATTTGCATGTATGTGTCTTTCTGTGGAATTTCTGGCATACGTGCACACACACACACAGATCCAGCCACAGCAGCTTCATTCTGCACTTGGCTTGACTTCCTGCCTCGGGCTGATCAGCTGAACTGATTCCATTACTTACAGACCCCCCTGAAAGAGAAGGAAGAGCAGCACAGACTAGAAGGGGAAAAAAAGGCAGGGATAGAAAGAGGTAGAGGGCAGAGGGGAAACTGGAAGAAAAGAGGCCGGGAATGGAAAATAGACGTCACGCAGATGTATAAGAAAAAATTTAAAGAAGGGGAGGAAAGAATTGGAAAATAAGGAGGAAGTGAGGGGATTTTGCGCCTCCCTCGGGTGTGGGATAGACCTCAAAAAATCTCATCCTGCCTCCCACAGCAAAAAAAAAAAAACACAAAAAACAGCAGACGAAGAACCACGTACATACAAACACACGCTCAACAACAACAACAAACTCCTGGAGGCGTAGGCAGACTAGACGAGAATTGATCTCCTCTCCCACAAGGAGAGGCTTGCAATGGGGAGAAAGAGAGAGGGAGAGAAAGAGAGACAGAGAAAGACGTAGAGGAATTGTTTTTACCCATGTGTGGCTCTCAGGCCTGCAGGCCCCTCATCCCTCTCACTCTCACTCCCTCCTCTGTCACTCCCAACGGCATGTTTCTCTTTATCTCCCTATCTCTCCCTCCATCAATCTCCATCTGCCGTCCTCCTCCCTGTAGGGTCAGCCCCTTCCCCTCCTCCAATGGAGGGAGGCCTCCATCGTTGCCTGCGCCCACTGTTTTAGGTGTGTCACATCTTCACAGACAGCAGGGGAGCAGGCAGCGACTAGAAATTATATTTAATAATGTTAGGTAGAAAAGAGCAGCAGTGAAAATAGGAAGTGAAGACTAGTAGGCTGAACTCAGAGCAATCAAGGGAAGACAGAGGATAGAATTATTTTATTAATGAATATTTAATTTCATGTGCCAATCTCATTAAGCACTCAAATTTTGACCATTTGACAAAGCAGTTCTATTCTTGGTCGCTACTCTCTTTATTTACCGACTAACGGCATTGCCACTACATGCTCTATCAGGACATGCCTTGTACTGTTATTTTCAAGGTAAGCTAGTCAGCTATGCATCATTTGGTATGTAAATGGTACTGTACAAGTACTAGGACACATTTTATGGAAATCTTTTTTATCATTTTAGTTTTAGCTGCTTTTTAACGGACAGCAAACACAATAAATAGATGTAAACTGTGTTGATGGGACATTGAATGTCTTAGTACTGCCAAAAATTCATCTTCACATAGTCCTGCATTATTATTATTTGGTATGAATTTGTTTTGAGTTGCAGTGCTACACTTCTATCTTGCTTTGTATGATGCAAAACAAGACATTTGTTTTGCATCATACAAAGATTTATTTGATTATTTAAAAAGAAATCATCTGCAGGGTAATTGATGAAAGAAAAAAAAGACCCCTTCTCCTTAATGTCCGCTGCACCATGTTCTTTTCTCTCCATTCTTAACCATCTCTGATTTTCTTACTCTGCTCCCCACTCTCTCCCTCCTCCACCCCCTTCTGGTCTGTCTTCCTCTCTACAGGCATGTTGTGACAGGGTGTAGCAGTGTGTTATACAGGGTTCTACTCACCAAGTGCATATTATCCTGTAAGGCTTAATACCCAGGTTGGAACAAAAGGGCAGGCTTGAAAATTACAGCTTACGTCGCTTAGCACTCAGCACAACAGTCTGACTCACATGAAAACACGTGTGTGTGAACTTTCACATGCAGATGAACGGGAATCTTACACATTTACATGCATATATATTTAATTTTTTATGTACACCTACATACAAAATACTTTTATAGACTTGAATCAAATGCTTGAAATTATTAGTCAATTAATTAGTTGATCGGCAGAAAATTTAGCTTGAACTGAACAAAAAACAATTGGAAGACCTACGAAGATCTTATTGGGTTCTTGAAAACTGTGATGGCAATTTTTCACAATTTACTGACTTTTTATACACTAATTAAATTTTATAAACTAACTAAAATTGATTAATCAATTAATAATAACAGCCCTGAAATAATGCACAGTTTGTTTAGTCAGTCAAAACCTTTCAGCTTTGACACAAGAAGTAAATCCTTCAATCTTCTTCACATCTCAGTCTTGTTAGAGTGATAGAGCATGTGTGTGTGTGTGTGGTGTCTGTGTACTGTGTTCTGTGTGTGTGAATTTGTTGTGTGGTGTTGTGGCAGGGAGCCAGAGTCAGTCCTCTCTTTTATTAATAAATCTCCTTTGGATGGAGTTGGTGCAGCTTATAAAATGCATTGATTGTCATTGCTCACATTGTGGCAAACACACACACAGATGCACACACACACAGGCTTGGTTATTGATACCTACACATTCATATCTGCACCTGTTCATTGATATTCACACATGCACAGTCATTTATTGACATTATGACATCCATACATGCAGAAATACATACAGATGCATACACACTCATATTAAACAATGAACATACATTTTGTTAATCAAACCATAGAAATAAAAACTAAGAAAATCTGATTATAAACTACTGATAAAAGCTCAAAAATTAGAATTTAAGAACAAAATGAAAACCAACCAAAACAGCAGCCTCTTCATCAGCAAACACATGTAACGTGTTTCGGGATAAAGTTGCTGCGCTGTGACTAGGTGCTGACCTACAGTGTTGCTTGGAGCTGTGTTTAAGTGTTTGTTTGTGTGGCACATATTTCCAGTACTCAAGTATTCAGTGCACCTGTGTTTTACTCAAGTCCTCTCTTGTCAACACTGCATAGAGACATCATGTACAGCAAACAGCCAGCATGTTCACACACACACACACACACACACACACACACATACACACACACACTGCAACAGCATTCGCATAACCAAACAATCTGCAATCTACTACAAACTCTGAAGTGCACACTGTCTAAAATAACCCTTTGGGGGGAACAGAATACAAAAAGATTCAAAGAAGCGGAAAGAATCAAACACTGAAATACACTCTCCTCTTCTCTTTTCCTTCCATCTCTCTCTTCTCTTCTTCTTCTCTCTTACATACACACACGTGCACATGCTCTCTTTATTGACATGAAGATAAATCAGAGGAAGACAGAGCAGTCACTGATGTGAAATGAAAATGACTCTAATCTGCTGTTACCATAACACACACAGACACATCAATTATTAAGACCTACAATAACTCTCCTCTCTCTTCTCTCTTTCTTTTTCTCCTCATCTGTCTTTCTCTATTGTGTATATCTCGCTAGATGGATGGGACACAGTATGTTAAAAGCTCCCATGTGCTCGCCTAAGTGCTGTGGTTGGGTCTTTTGTACATTCTAGTTCTGCTTTTTCTATTCTTCTGAAATCAGTGATTTCTCCTGGAAAATGTGCTCAACTTTTGTCAAGAGGGTCTTTTGATGGAGAGGTTGGCATCTAGAATACTTCAAAAGCAGCACATATCTTACATGACCTTTTCCTCACTCCACAGCAGTCTGTCTTTGCTTGGTTTGCTTTTTTTAGCAGTTGCAAATGTATAAAAAATGTAATACAGTGAATACAAAAGATCTTGTGGATCAAGAGCGGTTATATATCTCACAACATTTAGAATAGTCAATAGAACTTTAAAAGACATGCAAGCAGCGACTATTTGTGTGGAATTGTGTATTTGTGTGGACTTAGAAGTGTGAAAAGTTTTAAAGTATTTTCCAGTGTGTGGGCAAAGCATTTTATGGGATGTGTTTTTTATTCTGTACTTGTTTAAAAGAAAAATGTATACAAAGTGAGGCTATGATGAACAATGGTTACTGTGGGAACAAGTGACAATTATTAAACAGAAATTGGGACAATGTGTTCATTACTTACTTTCTTGGTAAAACCACTGACATTTACAAGTCATACAGTCATAAACTCAGTGAACTGATTAAGTAATGAAATCTAAAGTTTGTTAACATTAGCCACCATAAGTTACTGGTCATACCAGACCAAGTAAGGCTGTAGCAGCAAAACCCCAGAGTGTAGCAAGGGTGAGTTTTATTGCTTATGTATGTTTGTAATTGAAGAACCTGCAAATACATCCACATAGACACAATGCTTTGCATTCATTTGCTATGCCTTTGTCTTGTCTTATTTCTTACTCAAATATGTTGACTAACATAGCCTTCTCCCCTCTCTGCTGTCATCCACAGGTAACCGTTTCTTCCTGACCTCATTTGGCGCTCTGTATATCTCAGAAGTGCAGAAGGAAGATGCTCTGTCCACCTACCGCTGCATCACAAAGCACAAGTACAGTGGAGAGACTCGCCAGAGCAATGGAGCCAGGCTCTCTGTTATGGGTAGGCAGCAAGTTAACATTTGTGCTTATAGTAGTTGCTAAATTTCAATCAGAGCATGATTGTATGAGCAGTGGCTTGTTTTCAGGAGATAGATGGCTTAGCTTAGCATAAAGACTGGAATCAAGGGGAAACAAAAGGCACTGACCAGCACCTCTGAAACTTACTAATTAGCATGTTGCATTGTGTTTATTTATTAGGTGAATATTGTTACTTTTAGAGAGAGCCAGGCAAGCTGTTTCCCCCATCTCTGTGCTGAGTTAAACTAATCATCTGCTAGCAGTAGCTTTATATTTACTGTACAGACATGTAAGTGGTGATGATTTTCTCATTTAACTCTCAGCAAAAAGTGTTTTTCCTAAAAAAATCAGACTATTCCATAAAAGGTCCAGTGTGTAACTTAGGATCTTCGGATTTAGGAGGATCTATTGGCAGAAAGTACAGACGCCACGAATCGCCTTCCATGGAGGCTGCTGTGTTGAATAGTCATGTTTCTATAGTAGCCTCAAAACGAACAAACCAAACATTGGTTTCTTTATATATTTCTTTAGATCCGCCCCTGGCTATAGTAAAAGTCAGGACATTACCTTTGGGGATGACTTCCTCCCTCATGCTACTGTAAGCCAGATCATGCTGCTGTCATCATTTGGCTCCCTTAATCATTGCAGAAAGTGCTGACAGTAACAGAACCGGTGGTTCCGCAGGACTGAGGTGACCAGGCCCAGAGAGGACAAGCTCTGACCTTGACCTAAGGAAGACGAGAAGTCACAAACCATGTCTTCAGCGCCAAACTGTCTTGACAGGGTCTGGACAAGCTCGATAGGCTTTTGACCATGGACTGAAAATAGTCTTCAGTTTCCCTTCAAAGTTAAAAAAACATATTGTGGACGTGCTGCATATCACAAAAAGCTTAGTGAAATATTGAAACCCAGGAGACTTACATGCACACGGCTGCTAAAATGGAAAATTCTCCATGTCTTGTGTGTGTATCACACACATTTCACTGTAATTCAGCCAGACATGTTTGGTGAAACTTCAGGATCTTGACTAGAATTCAGAATGAGGTTCAGTGGGTTTGAACAAAGCTTGGCTGTGCACCATGTGCTTGAAAGATGGACCAACCGGTTGATCTTTGTGGGTTAGCCAACCTGACCATTCCTCTCTGCTGGAAACAAAATGTTACAATAATCACACAAGTGTTATTTTTGGGAGGGTTTAGGCGCATGAATAATGTGTAAGCCCTGGTTAAAGCTCTGGTTCATACTGGAGATGGGAACGTGATTGTATCTGCGCTGAAGAATGGGCTTGTGCCTTACAGTTTAGGTATTTTATCAACCACAAAAGCATGGACTATTATTTAAAGACACAGTCTCCTTTTAGATCAAATTGAGATACAGCCTTTCTATCTCCCATTGTCGTCATTCACCAAAAATAGAAAACAAAAATACTACATATCTGATCATCCAGATTTTTTTGGAATGAAATTCCAAAACCAAAACACTCTCCATGGCTAGACGCTAGGGCTGTATTCATCCCAAACTATCTGGCACTGGATGTATGGACCAGGATGCAATTTTCTCCACTTGTACTTAAGTTAACCAAATATAGTAATTACTGTCAAATACACTCTAATTAGGCCTACATCTTAATACGTGCGGAACGTGATTCCTAAAGTGCCAGATTCCATGTGGAAAGTTATAGCAGTGTTGCCAGTATTGTGAAGGCAAATGACAAACCAGAGCTGGAAGAGCCTGCTGTCTCATTTAGGTCTCTCGTTCGGGAGTGTTATGGTTTTCCAGTGTCACTGATTTGCCAGCGACAATTTCAACTAATGAGAATCTTTTGTTCATTTCTGTATGAAATGGAAGAACCCATTGTTTAACAAATTACTACAAATTTGAAGTGGTAAATCTGCCGCTGTTATCACTGTAAACTGCATTCGTGCCATATAAGAACGTTAAGGTTTGACAGGTGTAGCAGCAGTATAGAAAGAGGTCGGGATGGATGGTTTGGACTTTTCTATGTTTTTTTTTTTTTTTAATTTGAGTAAAATGACCCTTTTAACAAAATAGATTCCTACTCCTGTTCCACTGTTTCCTACTCAACCAAACAGAAACAGCAGAAAAGATCTTTGTTGGTCAGTATTATTATACACAAGTGTGTACAGCTGACATCCCAACAACGAGAAGGCTGTGCAGAAGTGAAATGCTTACAACAAAGAAGAAGCTGAGCCTTGGGGGAAGCAGAAGTGAGTGACATTAAGTTCCTGTCGCTGCTCTCACGGGCTGCACTGCTGCGGCCATCAAGTTGCAAATCCAAGTTGCCCTGAGCTGGCTGCCCTTAAGCAAAAACCTGCTTCAGGTGGGGTCTGATCCCTCAGTGCACCGCACACTGACCACCTGCACTAGTGGAGCTTGTACTGTGCTTTTATGCATTTGATACAGCATACATTTCCTCCTCTCCACTGCCTCTCTGTGCCTCTCTTCACTGGCCTGTCAAATTGCCTGTTGGAGGAAAAGATGGTGGAGCCTGAGCTTTTTTTTCTTCTTTTTTTTAAAC